TGACAGACATAGAGTGACCATAGTCAGCTTTACATCACCTCCTGTAAGAGCCCCCAGCACAGGGGCATAACAGATGCATTGCTGGGAGTATTTCAGGAAGGGGGGTACTTGGCCAGCATTCCTAGGCTGCTGGTACTTCTGGCTACTTGAACTTCCCTTAGGGACCAGGGAGAGTGGGGTGCAAGTTAGAGGCTGTGCTAGCCTGCATCAGGGACCGAAGCAACCCACTGCACAGGGTGCACTGAGGAGGTTTCATCTTTGCCTTCAGTTCCTGCACTGAGCTCAGCTCTGCAGCAGGGATGAGGTCAGATCAGACAGGCTCTTCATTCTGACTATGCCTAGATACTACAGCGAGCAGAACTTTTTTTACAACACTCCTGGAGACAGGGACTCAGAGAACTTCAGCTGACAGATTGACACAAGAACATGCTTCACATACCTCCTGGGAGAGGTCACCAAGCTGCATCTCACAGAGGCCCTGAGGGATAAGACATTTCTAGTTGAGCATCCTTGGACAGTAGTTAAAGGCCTGGGTTTAATCCCCAGTTAGTAAAGCTTCTGAAAGGATAACTAAGGTTCCTGGGTAAAGTCCCAGCTGATAGACCTGACCCACTCCCCAGGAACAATAACCAGGGAGCCTGGGTTCTATCTTTAGCTGTTAGAGCCTTTGAATGAGATGGGTAACTGGCTTCAATCCCTAACTGATAGAGCTTCCTCCCACCCCTGGACATTAATCAAAGGGGCTAGGTTCTAACCCTTTGTAGGTAAATATTGTATTCACTATAAGGGAGTCCATCTCTAGGGAATGCTGGTAATCACTCTCCCTGAGTTCAGCAGGTGGCATAGGAGCCTGATGAGTCATGAGTGGCATCTTTCTCTTTGTCTACTGCAGGTACTATGAAATGTACAAGTCCCCAATGGAGATGAGGAAGGAACAGTGTGAAAACTACGCCCCCTGTGACTACCTGTCCGATCACGTGGGGTTTCATGCTGCATATCAGCGTTACTTTGGGAGATTCTGAGGAAGAGACTGTCCCTTCCCTCACCTGGCTAGGGTCCAGTCTGTCCTCCATAAAGACTGGGGTAGTGTGAGGAAGGGAAGGAAGGAAAAGGGAGAGGTAGATTGGGCCCACTTCAATTCTGCTCAGCACTGATGAGAGCACAATGGCAAAATTTACCCCATGTATCCATTTTCCAGTCCAAGACAGCTGAACACTAGTTGTGATCCTTCTACCAGAGGCATTCCCACCTGTGGCCTCCCATAGTATTTTGAGTTTCTTCAGAGAAAGGAAGGTGAGGAGAATCCATCTTATCTGCTTGCCATGGAAGTTCCAGAGCAAGTATAGGAAGAAGAGATTCTTCTGAAGAAACTCAAAATATGACAAAGGGAGGCAGCAAGATCTTTTGTGCTCCCTCCCCTCCCAAAAAAGTACAAGGTGAGGGGTGACTAATATGAGAAATGCAACAGTGTGTGTGTATGTGTGTGCTGTGGAGAGCAGTGATCCTCATGCACGCACTGGAAAGGGAGGGGTTCTGCTGCTTCCTGTTGGGGAAGGTTCAGCAGTTTGCCACCACCAGGTTCCAGTGTGGGGTGATCAGCCCAAGTGTATGTTAGTGAGAATGCATGAGCCCTTAAAGGTTTGGTGGGTCCATTCAACTAAGCACCTTGATTTCATATACTTCACTGAGCTTCTTGGACCTGCAAAATTGGGGTGGAAATCTCTGATGCTTCTGCTACACCCTGTTTCTGGTCAGGCTGAAAATGCCCGAACAAAAAGCTCTTCCTCATAATTATTTTGGCACTTATGTTTCTGGTCCTGGCTGAAACAAACAAAAAAATGCAGAGGCAACTGTAAAATAAAACAAAAAGTTAATTGAACTTTTATGAATCTTCAAAAAAAAAAAAGGGGGTGGTCAGTTCAGGGTTGGGTTGGGTTGAAGTTGGGTCAATGCCAGGTTTATCCAAATTGGTTTGCCTATCCCCAATATGTATCTTCCCTCTTTGCAAATTCATGCAGGTATCTTTTTATGAGTGTTATGCATTAGCAACTTTCTGAAATTTCACCTGTACCATCATATATTCTGTTCTGTAAGGGAGATGTCAGGTTCTCCAGAGGGGCAGGTGTCTGCTCAGCAGCAAAATTTGCATGTTGGCTGGTGAAATCCTCCCCAGCTGTTGGCTATAATAAATGCTGGTTATGTAAAGCAGGTTTGTGTTTTGCTTCTCTCTGTTCATGTGTCCAGCATCTAGTGGGGAGTGAGAGGTGGTGAGATTCAACTGGGGTGAAAGAGAGGTCTGGAAGATAAAGCTGTCTCTCCCAGTAGCTAAGATGGATACTGAACAGGAAACAACAACATTGGCCTGATTCTCCTCTCCCTTATCCCAGTGTTAATCCGGAGTAATTACATTGAAATCAATGAAGTGATACCTGCATAAGACTGTGTAAGTGAGAGGTGGATCCTACTCCACCATCAGTTGAATTCTTCCTTCCCCTGGAGAGACCTTCTTTGTACTGGGATAAGAGGTGAACCCAGTCCCCATGGTCATGTAGAAATAGACTTAGTTCCCACTGACTCGAATGGGAATCCCAACTCTCCCCTGGAGGAATGTCCTCTTTTGGGCCGAGAAAGGAACGTTTTTCCTTCTACGAGAGTCTCACTCCAGCTGTAAAGAGAAAGAGATGTGGGTCTGAATGAAATACCTGCCCCTCTTGGCTCTGCAGTGGAGAGAAGGGCTACAGGAATTTCTAGGCCCAGATAACTACCTTGTACCGTACCATGTGGGTCAGAAGGTACTAGGCCTTTCAGTCTGCACAGCATAGGTATATATCTGAGCTGGGTGACTGGTGCTCCTTCAAAGATACAGGCCAATTGTTCCCTCTACAAGTGGAGCCCCACCCCACTTTGGGACAGCATGTGTTTGTGGGATACACCTGTAACAAACTGAAATAATGACGTACTGCTGATATGGGCATCCTAGCGGGCTCATAGAGACAGTGTGAACCTTGTGGCGCTTGTATGGTTTGGGATGGGCTTTGTTTAGGGCAGGAATGCATTGTTGAGTGTGGAGGGTAAAGTCTGCACAGAGGGGACTCACAGTGGCACAAGCTGCGTATAGTTTTGCAGCCCTGTCTCATCATTCCATATACTCTGCTGCCACCTAACGGACATTTCATTTCACTCAGTGAAAGAGCATGTGGCACCACTAAAGCATTTTACATTTTCAGAGCTCTGCATGAACCCTGCACTCCAAACGCAGGCTAATCTCCCATTAACGTCACACTAAAATATACATAGAAGCAAAGGCCTAAGGGTTCAGTGGGGAGGGATAAATGGCTAGTGGGCATGATATGCACAGTCAGATTTGTGAACTGACACCAACTCTGAAATTATAACCAAGATACATGTGGGATTTATCTCCTGATTAGTTAAACGGTGTCTGCACTAGGCATAAACAGACTAAGCAATTGCTTAGGGCTCCAAGCAGCTCAAGCAGGGGGAGGGAGCGCGGGATCTTCCCTTTTTTAGTATGCGTTGTGTGTGGGAGGGGGGAAAAATATTCCTGCTTACATCCCCCAAATGGGCTAGCTCTGCCAAAATTCAAATACCCTACAACAGTGGTTTTCAACCGTTTTTATACCAGGACTCTTTTCAGTCTAGCTGGGATCTAGTCAGGATTAGTTAATCTAATCTAATTAGCAATTTGGGAAGGGCCAGGGCCTTGACATATGCTTGTGATCCCTCCAAAGGGGACATGATCTGAAGGCTGAGACCTCATGCTTTAACTGGACGGTTCAAAGAATTAGAAGGAGGATGGCTGCCTTTATTACCTTGCCCTCTGTGGCACAAAGTGACATCAGCACAAGGGTGCAAATGCCTTTACATCACTGACATGACATGACCCAGTGTTATAACATTCTGAGGCGGTGTCACGATATAAGGATTTTATGCCAGCCCCTGATTATATTTCAGCACCAATGATGCCTATGTCATCTATGTGGTGGCATAGGGACCTGTTCTTTCAGATGAACCAAACCACAAACCTGACCTGCTAGTCAGAGCATCATCCTTGACTTTCCATCCATAATCCCATCTGACCCCAGTGCTATCAAACTGTGCTAGTGATTGAATCTCCTGTCTCCCTTCCCCTGCAATACATAGAGATAACTGTTCTTTGGCTCTTGTTCTATGTAGAGCAATCATGAAAGCCCACAAAGCATGGTAACCGAATGGGAGGGCTCACCACAGCCTAATGGGTGGGAGGTCACAAAGAGGTGGGAAGCTGCTGATGGGGAGGATTAGTGTAGATTGCTGAATGGGGCCCAGCATATGCAGCTTTGCAAAGGGCTTTCAAAAACTTAGGGCCATCCCTGTTCAGGTCTGTTTCAGTGTTATGCAAGCTGCTTCTTACAGGGCATGGGGCAGCCTCTCTCCCCCAAACCAGGACTGCTCCTCAAAATGAGCTCATGTGGAAGCCCTAAATAGGAATGGGACATATAGCCTCTCACAAGCAAGGCACTAGTTGGAATACAGCCAGTCAGCAAGGACTGAAAGTTGTTACCTTCTGTCCCTGTTCTGTGATGTGTAAAACTAGCTGGTGGGTCTCAGTGTAGTGCATTTAGGGGACAAATGCCCATATCACCTGCAACTTTGGCCACTGTTTGGCTCCTTTGTTGGCAGTCTCCTCCAGGGAGGTCAAGAATGGTGGTCTTTTGTTTGGTGAGGAGCAGCTGGCAAGCAGAGCTTGGTTGTGTGGCTGAGTCAGGCACATTTCACAAGCAATATATTCATTTAAAAATATATAAAAAAGGACTAGAGTGGGATGGGCAGCAGTGTTGTTTGAGAGGCTAGGACAGGGTGGGGCAAGAAGGGAATAGGCAGCTGTGTTATCTGTCGTGCCAGATGGGTTCTGAACCAGAGAGGCATCTCAGTTCTGCCTTTATCAGAACCCTACATTCCTTTAATGTTGTTCATTAAACTTTTGGCTGGAGATAGTTTGCTTCACTCAACCTCATCTTGTCATGTAAATCCACAGAAGAGAGCTGTCTTGGGTGCCTCAAAGGTCTGAGTCTCCTCTCACTTGAGACTAACACGGGATTTGAACAGGGCCTGGCATAAGGAACCTCCATGACCCAGAAAGAAAAGAGAAAAGACCATAGGAAATCTCAACATTAAGTGAACTGATAAAGACCAGGGGAATGCACAGCGACTGGGACTGGAGTGGAGGAGAAACTGTCATTTAAAGGACCCAGACCATTTCTTTTGGACATCTTTTGGACATCGGAGCTATTACTTCCGATATGTCCTCACCTTGGTTCTAAATTACTGTCCTCCAAACTGCAGCCTGAGTCCGATGAGTGATCCTAACTCTGGGAAAGGCAAAGAAAGAATATTGACTCATATCCGAGTGTAAATTTCACACAGCAGATTTGTTGGAATTCAATTTATGACACTAAAAGAGAAAAGAGCAAAACATCCATAAGAAAGAGAGGGTAGCCCCATCTTCTGGTTCTGTGAGAGTTCAACATCCCGTAGCAGATCTCCTGGTGGACTCTGGGATGACAGCTGATCTACTGAGCTTCCTGCTGTTGCTGATCTTCTCCCTGCTGAGGCTGATGAGAGGTGACAAGGTTGTGCTTTATTTGAAGCTGTGAAGTTGCTCAGAGAGTGGCTGCTCCAAAGCCCATTGAGGATGATGGCTGTATTTCCATTCTCTTCAATGGGCTTTGAATCAAGCTTAGCATGAGAACTACTTTGCTTTCACTTGCTTTGTTCCATTTCTCACCTTCTCTAACCCTTCTGATTGCATTGTTAGAAATGCACTCCATTTTCAAGTCACATGTTTTCCCAGAGAATGTTTGTGGTTGGGCATCAAGGAAATGCCCCAATCAGTACAAAGAACGAGGAGTATTTGTGGCACCTTAGAGACTAACAAATTTATTTGGGCATAAGGTTTCGTGGGCTAAAACCCACTTCATCAGATGCGTGGAGTAGAAAATACAGTAGGAAGATATGTGTCAAGTATCAGGGGGTAGCCGTGTTAGTCTGTATCTACAAAAACAACAAGGAGTCTGGTGGCACCTTAAAGACTAACAGATTTATTTGGGCATAAGCTTTCGTGGGTAAAAACCTCACTTTTACCAAAGAAGTGAGGTTTTTACCCACGAAAGCTTATGCCCAAATAAATCTGTTAGTCTTTAAGGTGCCACCAGACCCCTTGTTGTTTTAGTAGGAAGATATATATATATATATACACAGAGAACATGAAAAGATGGGGATTGCCATACCAACTCTAACGAGATTAATCAATTAAGGTGGGCTATTATCAGTCTCTACACAAAAGAATAAATGGACACAAATCAGACGTCAAGAACTATAACATTAAAAAAACAGTCGGAAAACACTTCAACCTCCCTGGACACTCAATTACAGACCTAAAAGTCGCAATTCTTCAACAAAAAAAGATCAAAAACAGACTCCAACGAGAAACTGCAGAACTGGAAATAATTTGCAAACTGGACACCATTAAATTAGGCTTGAATAAAGACTGGGAGTGGATGGGTCATTACACAAACTAAAAACTATTTCCCCATGCTAATTTTCCCCCCTACTGTTACTCACACCTTCTTGTCAACTGTTTGAAATGGGCCATCCTGATTATCACTACAAAAGTTTTTTTTCTCCTGCTGATAATAGCCCACCTTAATTGATTAGTCTCATTAGAGTTGGTATGACAACCCCCATCTTTTCATGTTCTCTGTATATATATATATACATTCCTACTGTATTTTCTACTCCATGCATGTGATGAAGTGGGTTTTAGCCCATGAAAGCGTATGCCCAAATAAATTTGTTAGTCTCTAAGGTGCCACAAGTACTCCATGCTATGAAAAATCATGAAATTTTGATACTTTTTTTTTGTCCTGAATCAGGACAAAAAGGCAAAAATTCAACATTTTTCGCATCATGCAATTCCAAAACAAAGAAAAAATATTTCAATTCAATCAAAGCATTTTGTTTCAATTTCAACCCTTTTTAACATTTAAAATTCAAAATAAAGTAAATTTTGAAATGAAAAATCAAAACTTATCATTCTGAAAATGTCAAAATGTTCCATTTTGATATTTTCAATACTTTCCCCCCCAATTTTTCCCCTCAACAAAATGTCATTGAAATCAATATGAGTTTCTGAAAAATGTCAGTTTTGGTGAAAGGGCATTTTCCAATAGACAACTGGACAAAAAAAAAAAAAAAAAAAAAAGTGCAGCTAGCTGTAAGCAGGGCACCAGGAAGAAATTCACTTCTCTAGCAGGGCGGCTCTAGGCACCAGCGTCCCAAGCCTGTGCTTGGGGCGGCACTTTTCAAGCGGTGGCACTCCGGCCCTTTTTGTTTTTGTTTTTTTGCTTCGGCGGCGGCACTCCGGATTTTTTTTTTTTTCCCACCTGGGGCGGCAAAAAACCTGGAGCTGGCCCTGTTCTCTAGTGCACTCCCACAGCATTGCACAATTAACATATTGCATTATGGGTTCCTTCACTTGCCGCTGAAGCACTTGCCAGGCAGAGTTAGGCGACCAATGGTCCACCTGACTACCTCGGTCCACCTACCTACTTTCTCATTAAAAGGAAGTGGAGACACTGGAGATATAGCTATTTTCATTCATTAAGGGGGCTTCTTCCACTTGTCAGAGCTGAGATGAATTGCTGCACGTGGGTCTTTGTGCATTTGAACTGGCTACATGCAGAAAGCCTCACAAGTAATGTCCTCACTGCACCCAGTGCAGAGAACACAATGTCAAAGGCAACTTCAGAGCCATAGCTCTGAGCTGACTAGCCCCGCACTTCAAGTTTCTGAGTCTGTCTAGAACCTAGGTGGAGTGTTCTACCACATCCCAGACCCCAAATCTATAGGAGACCAAGTGAATGTTCCTTTCTCCAGCCTGTTAATGTGTCCTAACCTCTTCTCCTCTGGCTATTGCATGAATTCCCAGCCTACCTAATAACTCTCCTCAGGCTCCAATACTGAGCTTCATGAAGTGAAATAATGGTAGAATCCTGGTCAATATTCACTCACAGGGAAACTGGTACAAAAATGTGCAAGGTTGCATATGTGCTGTTGACAAGCTCAAAATGACTGCAATATTTGTCTGCCACACACTGTGCTGTGAGCTTCTAATGCTCCACCGTGCACTCTAGGATCTCTGTAGCAGGACAAAAACAGTAGAGACAATCTGATTTATTGACATACACATACACACAAACTAATAGGGACCCATTCTTTATGTTGCAGGCTGTGTCCCACATTCTCATGGATATGGCACCAGATTCCTTTGATGACCAGTACCAGGGTTGCCATGAGCAGGTAATGGAAGAACTGGACCGAGGAGACTATTTCCAAAAGGAATTGGGTAATAATAAGAACTATTCCAGCATCTGGGAGAAAGCAAAGCTGGTCTGGTCAAAAAAGCCAATGGCTCTGCTAAGGGAGATGCAGGAGAACCACGCTGTAGCCCTCCTGGCTTACACCATGAACACCTCGCTGCACTCTGATTTGAACTGGGCTGTGTCCAGAGCTGGGACATCCCCAGAGCACTACAGACACAGCTTCCCCTTCAAATACCTCCACTTCTACCTGACTACAGCCATTCAACTGGTGAGGAGATGGAAGAGTGGCACCACAAGAAAAAAGTGCTACCAGGTGCACCGGGGGGTAAAAGGCCTGTATTTTGAGGCGGAGTTGGGCACCAAAGTGCGGTTTGGCCGCTTCACCTCCACTTCACTCCTCCGGAAGGAAGCCCGGAGATTTGGGAATGAAACAATATTCACCCTGAAGACTTGCTTAGGAGCAGTTGTGCAACGCTTCTCCCACTACCTCTCCGAGAGGGAGGTCCTCATCCCACCCTATGAGATATTCCAGGTCAGAAACTTCAGCCGAACACCAAGTGGTAACTGGCTGTATCTGCTCTCTGTGGGAAATTACAGCCAATACAACTGCCAGCTCCTGAAAGGTACTGTATATAGGAACTCTCATAATGGAGACCCAGGGTGGTCTTGACAGGCACCCTGAGAGCTCACCCTGCTGCACCACATCTCATGTTTCAGGCCTAATATCTTCCCTGGGGCAGAGGAAGCCAGGAGTGTCCTTTGACTGAGTGTGCACTGTCATGTGTTTTCTGGCTGCTATGAAAGGTGTGGGGGGAGGGCAAGGGAGAAAGTAGACATTTTGTTGTGTATAGGTTAAAGTTCTAACACAGACTGCTGGCAAAGGAACCTGGGTCTAACCAGGTGCCATTCCTTCCATGCTTCCATTACTCCCACCTACATTCCCTTGGCAAAATCCCAGCATGATGCTGGAAATAGCTGCCAGAGCTGCAGAGCCACCTACAACAAGGCTCCCAATGTTGCTAACAGTGGTGCAGATTAAACAGAGCAACAGTTAGAGGTTTGGGGCGGGGGGTTGTAAGAATTACAGTCTGGATGACATTTAATTGACAAACAGCCAGAAAACTTGCATGTGGATCAGAAGTCCTGGCTGGAGCACGCTGTGGTTCCCTACCTTATTGGAGAGAAGGAATAAGTACGTTGCACATCACGGACACGGGGCTCTTAGTTTTTGTCCCAGGACAATAATGGTCAATGCAACCTTTAAGCACAGAACACCATTCAGAAAATGAAAGCAACTGCCTGGTACTAAGACAAAATAGTAGGTAGACTTGAAGCATGGACTGATTCTGTTCATGAAGTTGACAGCACAGTAGCAAGTTGCTGCTCCAGTGCAGATCTCAGTCAATAAGAAGGGTCCTAAACATTCCTTGCTAAGTCCTTTCAGGACTGTGGTAGGACAGACACCAAAAAAGGCAGCAATCCACAGAGAGAGTGACCTTTTCATAGTTCAAGTTGCAATCAGCTTCCATTATATATATACTGGGCACTGTATGTATGTTGCCTTCTGTAATTGGCATGTAAAACCAGTCTTTGTTTAGCTGCAATGATAAAGGCCTGTGTTTTTGGAGGTATGGGACCAGAATTTTAGTCCCAGCTCAGCAGGCACATGTAGTGTAGAATGGCAAGGCGAAGGTTTCTCAGTAGTTAAAGTTGCATTCACAGTGCCATTGTAAGTCTGATTTTGATTCCCATTGAAACGCCAACAAAACCAAAAATCTTTCACATTTTAGGGCTAAATCTTATTGTCAATTAGAATATATTCTGGAAATGCTGATTAAGTGGGTTTTGAGATTTTTTTACTTTAATATGGCTCTGTAACAAGGTGGCAGATTTTTATTAACTGTGTTAGAAACCTGCATAAATCTGATGAGTAAAATCTACTTACTCATTGTGCCAGGTGAGGTTTAATTCCACCAGGATATAAAGGAGGTGGAAGAGATTCTCTGGACAGAATTAGAGTCTTGGACAGAGAGGTCTCTGCAGGGAAACCTTAGAAACAGCCAAGTCTGAGCTGAGGTTTATGTTGTGCTATTATTCCAACTACCGATACAGTCAAACCTGAGGAAGGAATAAGGTGTGCATTGAAGTTCTAGGCTGAATTTCTAAAGAACATCTCTTTTGATTCTTTTGCAGCTTCAAGCAGCAAGAACTGTATCCACAGTCCTCCAGTCGCTGCCTTTCTTTCTTGTGTGATCAGTGCTTTCTTCTACTCCACCAGGCAATGACTCTTTCCCTGATCACAGAAGGATTCATGTGCTGCGTAAAAAGGAATGAGTGATGGGTGTGAGGGGTTTACAGCTAACCAGCCACAGAGGTGCTGAACACCTCCTGCAATTTTACCTCTAACTCCCCCTGACTTCAATGAGTTAAGGGTGCTCAGAATTTCAAAGGAGGTGTTTAATCCCTAGCAAAATCAGGCCCTTAGGTGTTCATTCAAAATAGGGATGTAAATAGGGTTTAAAAATAGTAACTGTTTAACCTATTAAAATTCTATTGGTTAAACTGTTAACCGTTAAGCAGTTCACATAGGCAGGGAACTAGGGGTGGGGTTGAGGGTGCTGCAGCACCCCCACGTTTTATGCGGGGCTCCACTGCCGACTGCACCCGGGATCCTGGCTGCAGGCCTGGGCGCGGAGCTCTGCTGCCTCCCCGTGCCCAGGGTCCTGGCCCCAGGCCTGGGGTCCTGGCCGCCTCCCTGGGCCCGGCATCCTGGCTGCCGGCATGCCGGCCTCGGGACCAGCATGCCACTGCCGCCTGCCCAGCACCTGGGGTCCCAGCTGCTGCCCCATGCCCGATACTCCGCTGCCTCCCCATGCCCAGGGTCCCAGCTGCTGGCTCTGTGCCTGGGATCCCAGGACCCTGGGCGTGGAGGGCAGAGGAGTTTAATCGTTAACTGAAACCAATAAGACTGTACTTATCAGTTAACCGGTTAACCAGTTAAACTTTTACATCCCTAATTCAAAGTAGGAAGATAATGGGTCTGTGTGCTTACTGAAGGGCACGGCAGAGACTCCAGTCAATTTAGGCACCTAGTCTGCAAGGCTTTGGATACAACCATACAGTAGGAACTCTTGAACCACTATTTGTATTAGCATTTTTTTTGCAGGTCTCAGTAGGTTCTCTTGAGTTAGTAGTAATAGCACCCTCTGGTGGCCAATAAGAAAACACCAGCAAATTCTTATGAAGGTTAATTAGAAATTGTAGAGCCTATTGGGTTGTGTCCATTTTAAAGAGAGGTTGATGTTATTAAATACATATATATTTATATTGCTCTGTTTTTTAATTTGTAATATCAGTGATAGAATTCACACCCCATACTGAATTCTCCTTCCCAGTTTAACTATGTTCTTTCATAACTTTTAAAGGTTAATTCAGCATTCCTGCAAGGCACCAAGGCAATAATTCTGAAATCCTCTAATCCCACAACAGCTGTAGCATGTTAATGCAAATTTCCCTCTCATACTGCCTCCCTCCAATATGCCTGGAGGGACCACATCTTGGAGATGAGATTGTTTTTTAGCTTCTGTCCCATTTTGTCCTTGGACTGAGCTCAGACTACCAACCAGATGATAAATTATGATAATTTAGTTTTGTAATGTAGACATCTGACCACCAAGTACTGAACTGAGATTCACTAACACATTCTAGATAGGCTACAAATAGCCATCAGGTGGCAACAATTTTCAGCCAGTAACTATCAACCTGAGCTGGCATGGAACTGGTGATCAAAAGGCAAGAAGTTCCATATTCTATGCGCCATCCCCCTGACCTATTCACTATGCACAGAGCTAGTTGTCTATATTATAGACTTGAACTTAAAAGGGCCTAGCCCTCTGACTCCCCACAAACTGCTGATTGATGAATAGCTGAATATAAAGAAGAAGTTGAGGAGAAAAGCTTTCTGCAATCTGTGGATGAACAGTACTATACAAGAACTAAATTCTATTTTTATTCTCTTTAAAGTCAAGTGGCTAGCAAGTGCCCTTCTCCAGCCCACACCACTATGCCCATGCCCAGTCTAGTAACTTTGCTCCTTTTCTAGCCCAACATGTTGGTTCTTTCAGCAGTTCAGCAAGTAAATCCTCCCCCAGTCTACCTCACTCTATCTCCTGTTCAACTGAACCACTAATTATTTTTGTTCCTAGACTATGCATTCAAATCTCTCCTCCAATCTACCCTGCAGTGTCCTTTCCTATCACAGATCTTCCCCAGAACAGCAGCTGGGATTCTCCCCAAACTGTCTAGGTGACTCACTTCTGTTTCAGCTCACTTGCTATACCCTTCCTCCATTTTAACAGCTGTGCATCACCTTTTCTCTTCCTTTAAATTTTCCTTGTGCATCTCAGGTGATGTGTTCTTCCAGTAACCTGCTCAATATGCCTTTCCTCCAGACCATCAGCTGTACCCCTTCTTTAGCTCACCCTGTTGAATCTCTCCCCAAATCACCTCACCAGGTTCCTCCTTCAGTTTGCTCAATGAACTCCTCATCAGGTCTGCTTTACTAGACTCTTCCTAAACCTGGCCACCATGTTATTCCTCCAGCCCAGGCATTACACACTTCAAAGGCCGCAACGTCTCTTTTAGGTTTTATTTTGACTTCAGAAGAGAGTTACAGAAAACAAATTAGTTTCTGAGGTCATACGTAGGCATGAAATATGGAAGAGCTTCCACAACCCCCTTTCATCAATTATGTTTCTCTGGTTTACTTGCCCCATCACAAAGGTTTAGTCCCCATAATACTTGCACTTATACAGCACCTTCCATGCAAGAATCTCAGAGTGGTAAACATTCATTCATGAATGTAGCCTCACAATGCTTCTTTATGATAGGGAGAAAATATGCCAATTTCACAGAGAACCTGAAGCAAAGAGAGATTAAGTGAATTGCCCAAAAGTTGCACACAAAGCCTCTGGCAGAGTACAAGATTATCTTTCACTCTACTACAGATTATCTAGTTACTTCTCATCTCAGATCACAGTGATTTACTATTCCCAGTTGGTCAATCAGATGAAAATCCAACCATGATGGTTAACCTCCCAATGACCAATACTATCATAGCTTATTTTGAATGAGCTAATTCCTGTTAGCTAGCCACTATAACCTGACCTGTCAAAATGAATTGTTGCTATCAGAATAATCTAAAAAGCTTGCCCAGAAAGTTTAAACACACTTATTAAAACAGATACTGTTTCAGCATTTTGATTCTTAGACTTTTTTCCTGGTTACATTAGTTTCCTGTTGATTTTTATTTATCAAGTTTTTAAATTAACAAAGCAAGAAGACTTCACCTTGCCGCCTTAGTGCAATGCTCAAATCTAGACACTAAAAGTGATTGCAGAAGTTATTGTGGAATCAGCACTTAGCCGCAACCTTCTCTTGTTCCGTTGTGCAACTTCCCTTGTTGTAAGAAAAGAAGGAACAGAAGCATATTTCTAACACACGAACAATTGCTGTATTGATCATTGCAACTTGTCTGTTATCAGTGAGATATAGACCTCAGCTAGTTTAACAATGCACTGGAAAGATTCACAAGATGGTCTCAGCACTCTGACAGCCTCCTCCAGATAGTCTGCAGCTATTTTCAGGGTGTTTGTAGAAGCCTGTCCCCAAAGGACAGCCTGCAAGAAATTGGAAATTGAGAAAGCAATTGATGGACTGCGAGGTCTAGCTTCTTGAATCCTACTCCCTGAAGGGCTGTTCTCAGTGACAGTTGGGAATATTTTGACAATTTCATTGTGGCCCATGAGAAGGTCAGCCACTTGAAGGGACAGGGCAGGGGAAGTCACTAGATGATGAATGGCAGACTCTACAGACTCAGGGAGATTGCTGTGTTTCAGTAGCACAGCAGCGATTGGACCACTGATACTTCCTAGGACTCCCTTATAATTTTCATAAAGGTCCTTCACAACAGTAATCTTCTCTTGCAGAGAAGTGATGGGCCCAGCAATCTTAGCATATAAACGCTGGCTGATGCTCTGCTGCACATCTTTGTCTTTCATTTCCACAACAGCCTGCATCTCTTTCAGAGTACTGATCAGGAGCTGAAGGTTCTCCTTAATGCTGAGGTTTTCCTTCACGGTAATGATGGGGAAGCTGGTGCCAAGGTGCTGATTGAGGATTCGAAATATTGTATTGGTGGAAGAGACATATATGTATATGAAATCATACAGAGTCTGGCTGGCTGCAAGCACCCTTTGTTTATCTCTCTCTGCACCAAAGATGGACAACATTTCCAGAGAAGAGATTTGACACTGAAAAACAAATCAAAAGACACAGGTGAGGAATCTAAGAGGTACAGTACTTGTATCCTGAGCTATAAATCGCCAGTAATAATACCATACAGGTTTTTTTTCAAACCAGAACTACAGTACAACTCCTCCTAAATAGTGTATCCTCCATTAGCCTCTACAGTTCATGTGTCTTATTTTCTGGGTCAAATGTAGAACTGACGTAAGCAAGTGCAACGCCACTGATTTTGATGCTTACACTTGGAATTAATCTGACCCTTTAAGTGTAAGCAGAAAAGTGGAATTAAGAGTAGGAATGAGAACATTCCTCTTGAGGAAGGACAGCTTAGCTATTTATTGTTAGATTTACTATTAGTCTTTGGGAACTAATATACCTGTCTTCACCCTTACTAGATGTAATTGTTTTGGCTAAATCTAACATTTTTTCCCATATGAATATACTGTGTGTGCCACACAAAATTAAAGCATGGTCCTCTGTGGAGGAAGCAGAAGGGTACTCGGTCCATAAGGGCCATTCTTCAGTTACAGGCCAGAATGACTCAGGACTGGGAGTCAGGCACACTATTTCTTCCTTATTCTGGAGCAGTGAGCATCTTCTCAGCATGCACGTGTTGCTGAATGCTGTAATCCTGATATCCAACTAAGGTTATATACACATCGCTTAGCCAGCATTCCACAGCTCTTGGTAGGTTGAGGCACAAGCAAACTCACTGATTGGGCTTTCATTTTATCATTCTTTTGACTGCTAGGGAGAAACTCTGCCCTACTTCTTGCACAGGGGTGGTGAAGAGTAAGAGTTTCTCTACCTGTGTTAGTCCCTTTTCAAGTGCTAGATCCCCCCCTCTGGTGCACTGAGATGTCAACAAAAAAGATTAGTGATGGGCAAGCCAGACTAAATCTTTCCCCCAAACTCAAGTGCTCTGAAAGAGTTGTGATTAACATTCTTTAAACAAAAAAGTCAGGCATCCCTGAATTTCCTGGTTTGGGCTGTAAGTGGAAGTTCTGAAAAACCATGAGAAAGACAATTTGTGTGTTCTGTATCCCAGTAGAAACCACCAGTTATCTCCCAAGAAACTCTGTGTTCTCTTCACATTCCCAGTCTGATTTTTAGACTAATACAGTTCAGATAAGCATCTGAATTGAAAAGAAATGACAATTTTATGAGGTTTCTCCAGTACTAATTTTGATCTATCTCAAAAGGCCAGAAGGATTGTTGGATGTGTATTTCCTGCTCAAGAAGGGCTCAACTCTGCTTCCTTTTAAATCAGTTGCAAATTTCCCTTTGACTTCAGTAGGAGCAGAATCAGGCCTGAAATGTGTTATGTACTGCTGTAAGATAATATAAGTTCTAATAATGACTAAAGAACTATTGGTAATAAAATGGAAACCAAGAAGAATTCCAAGCACTGTATCAGTGGCTGGCATGTGGGATTTATAAGAAAGAAAATATTTTTAAATATTAAACAAATTTTAAAATATTTACAAATATGGTATTTCCTAGTGTACATGGAGGAATAACTGTTCATTTCTTGTTAAATGATTGCCAATCACATTCTAACCTATAACAGGGGGGAAGGATAGCTCAATGGTTTGAGCATTGGCCTGCTAAACCCAGGGTTGCGAGTTCAATCCTTGAGGAGGCCATTTAGGGATTTAGGGCAAAAATCTGTCTGGGGATTGATCCTGCTTTGAGCAGGGGGTTGGACTAGATGACCTCCTGAGGTCCCTTCCAACCCTGATATTCTATGAACATGAAGATTCCAGAACAAAAGGATTAGCACTGACCAGAAGCCTTATGGATGTAGTATCAAGGAGTTGAATTTGGCAGGAAGCCCTGCACAAACTGAATGAATGCTTAAAGTGAACAAAGCTTAGGTGATGGTATCTCCATATCAGTGAGAGACAAAAAGGCACATTCCTGCACCCCTATCCACTAGGGATGTGATATCATCGGGTCTTGCAATCTAAACTAGATGACCCTGGTCAGTACTTGAATGGGAGATTTTAAAACAAAAATCAGAATGTTGCACAAAATTAGTGCTTATGTAGTTAGAATTTTCTCTCTGTGCCCATTTCTTGCACACCCAAAACTCTAAAGTCAAGAGGAATTTTGTGCCCTGATTCTGTATTGAACCAATGTCTCATCATTCAGAAGAAAACCAAACTGGAAATTATGGATTAACCTTTCCCCACCTGGCAGTAGAACAGAGCTTTTCCTGTCATTCTCAGAATGTATCCATTTTGATTTGAGGAAGGGTCTATCAGTTGGTGTGGCCCTGGTGATTGTATCTGACATGCCAGAGGTCCCCCTACCCCAAGTGTGATGCACGGGACTGAGTCTGTCTTTTTGTGAGACTCCCAGCATGGAGTTTAAATGGGATTAGTGTTGGAGTACAGACTGCCCTGCTGTGACAGAAGCTTGTACTACCAAGCAGATATGTTGTGGTATATACTCTTCTATTTGTGTTGGACTGCCCATGACTTTTCTTTTGGAATTCACAAATTTACAGCTATAGCAACATTTAGCAGTTTGTGATTATGTTTGGAGGGCACTCAAGTTTATGAAGTATATATTTTTAGAAATATTTTTGATGGAACAAGCGTTAGATGCATATGGATTTGTACTGTACCTGTTCCTTCCATAAACAGAAGGCTACAGGTTCTAGGGTTGTGAATCAAATTATTTTACCAACATGAAATAAACTAAACAATTTTAAAATTGAAAGGGGGACGGAGAAACAATGAGCTGAGGCTGGGTATAGAGACCAGAGAGCAGCGTTACACTAAAATAATCTACAAACCAGGCAGGCAACAGGACCCAACTGAAACAACAATCCCTGCAGACCTAGGTCATCACATTCCACCAGAAACAGCCAGAGAAATCCAGTGAAAAGAGAATTCACTGTCCTGCACACCTACAGCTGATTACAGAGCTCTGACTAAAAAGCAGGTAGGTGGCCTTTATGATTTCCTGTGTAGAATCCCTTAAAAATATTTCTGTTGGGCTGCAGAGGCTGACTTACAGTATGCACAAAGATTTAAATAAATATATATGGACAGCTTGGCTATTTGACTATAGAAGTAATATAACATCATCTGAAAAGTGTCAATGCCAAAGAGAGAGAGGGTTATGATGTTCAGAGGAGGTATAATAGGATAAACTGAAATAATCCTAGATTGGCCAGCGATAAAGAATACGAACTAATAGGCCTCTTCCATCTCTTACATTTCTATTATACTAATGACATTCACAAAAGTTGCACTCCATTCAGCACATTTCATCCTCTCCAAATTTCCACAATGCAGTACTAACCAACAACATTTAACAGAGAACTCATTAGAGGGAAAGGACCCAAATACCACTCTGAGTCAGAAAGAAGCCTGTTCTCTATTTTCCTTAGGTAGAATTGATAAGAACTCATACCTGCTTTCACAAGGCTTTGTTTCAGTTCAGTTCACGGCTTTTCATCAAAATTATAAACTCTCAGTGTACATGAACAATACCTCCTCCATCCTGAAAGGAAAAAGAAGCATGAGTTGAAGTGATTGCCCTATTTTTTTTTTTTGAGAACTTCAAAAGAAGCGTGTGAAGGAAATGCAGTAGATGTAATATATTTGGATTTTCATAAATCACTGTACATTTTCCACACAATGTTACTAATGATATAAATTCCAATTGGCTTGTGGATGAACACGGTCACTTGGATTGAAGGCTGATTGAAGGACGACTCAAAAAATTATATATAGCAATGCATCTGCTGCGGAAGGGAGTGGTGTCTAGTGGAGTACCACCAGGTAAGTGACAGCTGATTCTAAATTGGCAAGTGTTGCAAAAACTAGTAAGGACAGACAAATGATATGAAGGAGCCTAGTAGTAGAAATAGCTACTGATCTACCATATCTTAGATATTTCTGAGGTGCCTATCGTTGTATTATCTAAGCACCAATAACCAAATGAGACTTATCTTGGAAAAAGGCAGGCTAGTACACAAAAATAACCGCAAACCCAGATTGTCAATGGGGAGGAGGATAATACAAACACACACCAGGGATGAAGGTGAATAGCACACTAGGGATGATTTGTTAATGTAACACAGAAGCAAAAAAGGCCAAGGAATGTTAGGCTGCATATAAAAAGGCAACATGTCCTGGAGCAGGGGAATAATACTCCCTTCTCCATGCTTCAGTGCTAGAAAAATAGTGACAAACCGGAGACTGTTTAGACAAGAACAACACAAATTATTAGGGGGGAGCCTGTAGGGAAAGATTGAAAGAGCTAAAATGATATATTACAGCTTGGTTAAGTGATAACTAAGAGCCAGATTCTGCCTAGCCTTTATAGTGGTTAGGCCAATGTAAGGAGCCTGTGCACTCAGGTAGAATTGCAGACCTTGCAGTCAGGGGAGCAGTGTCTGCTCAGTTCCTACTTTCCCAGGCACACAGCATTCCCAAAAGTAGTGTGAGAGGAGATGGGGCTATAGTATTCCCACCAATTGCACTGGAGCAGGACTGACACACAATGGGGACAAGGTCACTACCACAAAAGGGTGTGGAAGTGGATATGTTCTCTCTGTGTGCCCGGGGAGTTCACAGAGAGATTTTATCTCTGAGGTGGGATGCCTCCTGGTGCTCCAACTAGGGCAGTGCAGTTAAGCATCACCCCATTAATATGGACAGTGCCTAAATGGCATGCACTAACTATAAATTTGGGACAAGATAACCATCTTCAGATATTTGATGGATGGAGAGAATTTCTGTGGTGATAGGGAAATAAACAGGAATACTGAGATCAAATTAAGAAAGTGAACATTTAGGTTAAATATCAGGACAAAAATACAGTGAGATATATTAGGTGATGTGTAAGGTGGTATAAGTTAGGCCTTGGCTACACACACCATATTAAATATTCCAGTATAGTTAAAGCCATACATCCCCCTACTGTGGCTAATACTGGTATAAAGGTGCTTATTCCAGGATTGCTTATTCCCCTATGGGAACCGGAATACTTAGGCTCTGCAGAATTCAATTTTTATTATTTTTCAATTTCAACAATAATGACTTTTATTTTTCCAAAAAATGTTTATTCTTAGTTACAGGAATTAAGGGGGGATAGGGTTGGGGTTAGGGCAGTGCTGACAGCAGGGGGCTCCCTGTGCAGTCGAGGGGCCCAATACATCCGTGCATAAGGTGTGGAGGATGCTGTGGTCCTGGCCAGCCAGAGCAGAGATTCCTGGCCCTGCAAGGAGGACGAGGCCCAAGCCACAGGGTGCTGCTGGACAGTTCCTGCCCGGATAACCTCTGCACTCCTGGCTGGTGAGTGAGTGGGGCCATGACAGCAGGGCTGCAGAGCGCTCCCTCTATGACTGGCTGTGAGGCCGGTGACACCCGATCTCTGTAGGCGCAAAGCGTGGGGAAGGCTATAGTCCTCGCGAGGCAGAGCAGAGACCGTTGGCCAGGGCCGCAAAGAGGAGGATGAGCTCTCAGCTGTGTGGGGGAGGCCACCTGTTGCTGAATGGCTCCTGCATGGAGATGGGAACTTGGGGGCAACTCCTCCTCCTCCTCCTCGCAGGTCTGGCTGGGACTCTCTGCTCTGTCCCGCTAGAACCGCAGTCTTCTTCACACTGTGTGACTGCATGGATTGGGTGTTACTGACACCAGCCCCGAAGCCATGCAGGGAACCCTGATAGCAGGGCTGCAGAGGGCTCCCTTTGCTGCTACAGGACCCGTGACACCCGAATCCTGGAAAGGCTAGGTGCAGGAAAGGCTGCAGGCCTGTTGGGACAGAGAAGAGACCCCCAGACCCAGCACTTCCAGCTGGTGTGACAGCAGGGCTGTGACAGCGGGGCTGCAAAGGGCTCTCTTCACTGCCACAGAGCCAATCACACCTGATCCCTGGGGCCACAGGGTGGGGGGAGGGAAGGCTGCACTTGTGCTGTTACCAATGGCTATTTTTTCATTGATTTCAGTGTGTCAGCTGAAATAAATGTTTAGCACCATCTATCCATTGTTATCCAATCCTGCCAAGCCTAACTATACCGGTATAATTGTGTCCACACTAGTGGTTTTACTGTCATAACTATTTTGGTAATGTGAAATTATTATATTGTTACAAAAACTGTGTGTAGAACATGCTTTTGACTTTGACTTTCTCAGATTCCCTTAGACTTATTTTATACCAACTTGCTAATATGTGAGTAAGTGTAAGGGAGTCAAGTCAGTTTAATTTATGGACCAAAGAACCAGAAGAAGGTATATGCGACAGGAGGGACTAGTCTACTTTACCTTAAACTTGTGCCAACACTGATCTTTGAGCTGCTTTTCTTGCTACTCCCCTCTCTTCTAGACCATTGGTGGAATGATTTACACCTACTCAAATTCACTTGCAGTCACTCAGATTCATTTATTGGGCTAAATTCAAGGGTGATGTCAGTTCACAATGCTAAGCAGGTACAAGTTTTAGGAAGTCTATTGTGGTGTAATGTATATGTTGGACAGATACAGAAGTTGCAAATGATGTCGTCTTAAGACTACTTCAAGACATACTGAGGGTATGTCTACACTACGGGATTAATCCGAATTTAGATAATTCGAATTTGGGAAACAGGTTGTATAAATTCGATTGTGCGCGGCCACACTAAGCACATTAATTCGGTTTTTAACCACATTAATTCGGTGGTGTGCGGCCACACTACCCCATTAATTTTAACCACATTAATTCGGTGGTGGCGGCCACACTAACCCTAATTCGAATTAACAAAATCGATTTTGGCGCTACTCCGCTCGTCCAGGTGGAGTACAAAAATCGATTTAAAGCGCCCTTTAATTCGAACTAAATGGCTCTGTTGTGTGGACGGGTGAAGGGTTAATTCGAATTAACGCTGCTAAATCCGAATTACTCCCGTAGTGTAGACCAGGCCTGAGTCACACCTCTGGATTTGACTTGTTGGGTCTAAAGTGAATCATGACCTAGAGGCTCTGTATCCCAGTTCCCAATGCAATCCAGTCCCCTTCCAGTGTTCTGGGTTTTAAAGATGGGTAACAAACCTTATTTTTCCTCTCTCTGCTGCTCTTCTCTGAAGAATGGCTCTGAGTGACCTCCTCTACCCAGATAACCCGAAGAGACGTCAAGAAGTGATCCGTCTGCACCAGGAGCTGCTAGACTGCATGTTGGTTAATTTCCATGCCACAGATGAACTGATTGCAGTACTGAATACACACTTGGGGTGCACAATTGCCCAGATTAAGATGGAAAAAGGTGGCACCATCAAGGAAAACTGTGACATTATCATCCAAGCCATGAGTGAGATCCAACGGGAAGTATGGAAGATTGACAAAGAAATGAAGGAAATGCTGGAGCCAATGCTGTACCAAAAGCTTTATGATATCAAAGAGCCAGAGATGGAGAAAATTGCAATAGCACACAAAGTTTTTTCGATTGTTCTAGGAGAAGCTACTTCCATTGCTGGTATGGTAGCTGTAAAACTAGTTGGCTCAAATATTATAATTGTTGCTGTTAACAAGCTGGTCACTCTGCTAGCCCAGATTGGTGCTTCTGTTCTTGGAGGTATTGGCATTGCCATTCTTGGGCTGGGTATTGACGTGATCCTCCAGGCCATCCTGGGAGCAGTCGAGAGGGATCAACTTCTGGCAATTGTTAAAAGTTATGAGGAGCATCTGGCCGAATTTAAGGCAGCCTCAGAAAAATATCAGCGTGCCATAAGTGAAGTAACTTCTATGGTGAAATGTAAAATTAAATGAATGGCTTTTAATGTTCTCTCTGGCTGTCACAATGACCACACCAATTATGCTTATATTAACTTTTCTGATTCTTTATGGTAGAGTGAGCGCTCTTACTTCTTTTTTAGCAGCACATAAGATAGCCATGGAAATGGGGGCCTTGATGGCTCAGGAGATTAGCACAGAAATATACCAATTGGTAATTGGTTCAAGCCCACTCCAAGTAGGTAGTGTATGACAGTACCTGCTCCAGAGATCTGGTAGCTTATGTGAACCAAGTTGGTTATTTCCAATCCACTTCCAAATGCTCAAAGTACAAAAATCACCGTCATAACTATCACTAATTTATACAGTTTGGAAAAAGGCCAGGTTTACATTAGACACTGTTGCTGGATTAGTAATGTCAGTTAGGGACATGATTTTTAAATGACATTTCTGTACCACAAGAACCCTAGTGGAGATGTAGTTATACTGGCAATAAAATAAAATAAAATAAAATAAATGTTTTTGCTGAAATAAGATGCATCTACAGTAGGAGGGTTTGCTGCTGTAACTATATTGGCAAATCTTTTCTAATGTAGATGCATCTTATTTCAGTAACCTTTATAGGGGAAGATCAAGAAATATTTAACTGCTATTTCCTGTAACTATTGTACCAGATTGGTGGAACCATCCAGTGCCCATCTTAAAATAAATTCTAATCCTGACAGATTTGTGGTTTGGAAAATTCCCTAAACACTATAGTTAAGAGAAGTTGTCTTTAGTATTCCAGGGGGCTTTATTTACAGTATCTCTTAATAACTTTTTGTATCCTTATTATGGCCCTGCTCCTATAAACACACATGTAATTAACCTTGTGTACGTATGTAGTCCCATTAGGGTCATTGGGACTACATGCAAAAGTGTTTGCAGGATCGTTGGCCTATAAATCATAGGACTTGTTATGCTATTTTATTTTATTTTCCTTTAAAGTGCTAGTGATGTGAGCATACAGAGGGCTTGTTCAATACAATTCTGAGTTTCATACATCATTACAGGAATAGCACAAAATTAAATGTCCTTAGCTTGCATCCTTTGTAAACAAAAGGCTAGAGTAAAAAATTTGATTTGTATTCTCTCTCTCTCTCTCTCTCTCTCTCTCTCTGACATGCTGTGATTTGATTCTCTTTGTTTTTTGCAGAAAAATTGTAATTTAAAATGAATTTGAAATATACATTATAGGTTTTGAGAGTTCTCCTCCCTGTGTGTGGCTGATTTAGTCCGTATGTATGTGTTTCTTCTATCTATATAATTCACAGTACTTACTAAGAGAAAGATTACAATCTCTGTTATAGGACGCCATATATAAATTACTCTGCATATACAGATTATCATTCATAGATCAGTGTTCATCTCATGCTCCCCATCATTACCTGGCTTGGGCCAGGGAAGTTAATGATCCAAACAGCAGACCAAATTCGGTGATGAAATCTGGTCACATGCCACCTGAGGCACGTTGTGCATATGCTAAGAAGAAGATTCCAGGGCTGTACACAGGTCCATCTTTTCATACTCCACAAATATGATATTGTGACTAAACAATTCAGAAATATTCATTAATACTTAGCAGTGGTTTTCTATAATAGTAATAACTACCTCATATCTGTGAAAAACTACTATATTGGGGAGATAACAGAGTAGCTCCTTCTCCTCTTTTCATCCCCTTCCCATTCTCTTTTTCCATTTTTTAATCTTTTCTTCTCCTTCTATCTCCCCTCTTTCTCTTTATATCCCTCTTCCCCTTTCCCCCTTGTCCTTCCCTTTCCTAGGTCTCTGTAGGCTGCAGCACTAGAAGACAATGCAGTTGTGTACACTTCAGTTTGTCTGACCCATTCAGCAAAAGGGCATCGGGAGGACCTACAGACACACACCTAGCAATCTATATCGGGAGGGGACAAACCACCATAAACCATTAGGAAATCCCCAGTAAAAATTATTAACATGTAAAGACAAAAAATTTTCATTCACCTTTCTACATTTCCTTGACAACGGTGGGAAAGAAGGAAAGACAAATCCACTGGGGAAAGAGAAGGAAGAAGAGGGTGCTCATCTCTGTGAACTACTCCTATCAGAGGCAAGCTGTCCCACAGAATACAGAGCATGGGGGCAGTGACCTCACAGAGGCCTGTGGCAGGTCAGCAGTCCTGCATGATCCAGAGGAGGCAGCTACCTCACAGAGAGGTATATGCAGATAAACCAAACAGGAGGAACCTTGTGCTTTACCTTGAAACTGGCTAAAGTCAACTATAAATTAGCCCAGACATTTACCAAATTCTTCTTTCTAAAAGTATAATTTGGGTGGTTATTTTTATTTGTAAGTGGACTGTTGGCTCCTTACTAAAACTTAGTGGGGTTTTTTTTTTTTTTGGTTGACTAGCTTCCAGTACCAAAAGAAAGGGGAAGGGTCAATGGGGAAATCAGGAGACTGACAGTCCTCAGGGGCAATGGGGAGAGGTCAGTGCTCCAGATCAGAGTGATTGACAGCAAGGGCAGGCTAATGAGGGAGTCAGGAGGCAGGGGGATCCCATCCTCTGTGTGAGCTGGAACTGCCCCTAGGCCACAGTGGAGCTGAGCTAAGGAGAGAGCAGGAGCTGGGGAACCTAGCTGTGCTGGCCAGAGCCAAAGAAAACCAGAAAAGCAGCCCAGAGAGAAGACCTGTCCTAGGGTTGCCAAGTTTCTAATGGCACAAAACCGAACACCCCTGCCCCGACACCTCCTCCGAGGCCCCTGCCCCACCCCACCCCTTCTCCAAGGCCCCATTTGCTCTCCCCCACCCTCACTCACTTTCACCGGGCTGGGGCAGGGGGTTGGGATGCGGGAAGAGGGTGAGGGCTCCAGCTGGGGATGCGGGCTCTGGTTGGGGTGCAGGAGAGGGCTCTGGGCTGGGGCAGATGGTTGGAGTGCGGGGGGAGTATGGGCTCTGGGCTGGGGGAGCAGGCTCCAAGTAGGGCCAGAAATGAGGGGTTCAGGGTGTGGGAGAGGGCTCCAGGCTGAGGCAGGGGGTTAGGGAGTGGGGGGGTTGAGGACTCCAGCTGGGGGTGCAGGCTCTGGGGTGGGGCTGGGGATGAGGGGTTTGGGGTGCAGGAGGAGGCTCCGGGCTGGGGCCAAGGAGTTCAGAATGCGGGAGGGGGTGTGGGCTCCAGCTGGGGGTGCGGGCTCTGGGGTGGGGCCAGGGATGAGGGGTTTGGGATGCAAGAGGGTGCTCCAGGCTGGGGCAGGTGGCTGGGGATGTGGGCTCTGGGGTGGGACCAAGGATGAAGGGTTTGGGGTGCAGGAGGGGACTCTGGGATGGGGTAGGGGGTTGGGGTGCAGGAGGGGGTTCAGGTGCAGGGTCCTGTTCCCTGCAGCCCCTAGACGCATGGGTGGCTGAGGAGGCTCTGCGCGCTGCCCTTGCACCCACAGGTGCTGCCCCCGCACCTTCCAATGGTCGTGGTTCCCAGCCAATGGGAGCTGTGGAGCCCGTCCTTGGGGCAGGGGCAGTGCGCCACGGAGCCTCCCTGGCTGCCCATGTGTCTAGGGCAGAGGTTCTCAAACTGTGGTCCGTGGATAGTTCTCTCTAAGGTGCACGCCTGGGTGGCTGCACATGAGAGAATGAAGGGCCACCTACCTAATTAGTGGAGTTGCGCAGGCGTGGCTCCACTAATTAGGTGCCTGGACCATGGAGAAGATGCACATGTAAGGTGAAGTGGTGGTCTTGGGAGAATAGGGAGTAGGTGGGAGGGGCAGTGGGGTTAGAAGAGGGGGTGGGGGGAATTTGGGATGTGCAGGGCTGTGGTGCAGAGAAAGAGACAACTTTTCCCAGCTCTAGGGCTGCAGCTGCTGTGGAGAGAACCCCCTCCTTCACAGCCTCAGCTCGGGGGCTGTTGCAGTCGGTGAGAGAGGGCACATCCATCACATTAGAAAGGTAAGACGACTGATATTATAATATGAGTTGTGTGCTTTTATTTGTAGAACAAAAAATGTTAATTATTATTAAGGGTTTTTTTACATAGCGTTTTTATCCAAAGTGCTTTTCAATAGTTAGCTAACGGTACAAATAGCATTTGGAAAGATCATTAAGTGATCTACCGAGACCCTAAGCAATTTTCAAGTGGTCCGCGGAAAAAAAAACAGTTTGAGAACCACTGGTAGGGGCTGCAGGGACCTGGCAGCCACTTCTGGGAGCTGTGCGGCGCTAGGGCAGGCAGGGAGCCTCCCTTAGCCCTAGGCCCCCACTGCGCTGCCTACTGGACTTTTAACACCGCCGACTGGAGCCACCAGGGTCCCTTTTCGACCGGGCGTTCCGATCCAAAACCGGACGCCTGGCAACCCTAACCTGTGCTGGGAGGAGAGCTGCAGCAACCAGAGTCAGAGGGGGCCAGAAAAGCAGCCCAGGAAGCTGGAGACAGGCCAGACTTGGAGGGGGATCATAACCCCGAAGGCGTGGGGGAGGGGCGATGCTGGGAAGAAAAGGCCTGCCATTTAGAGCCTGAGGGCGTGTGGTCACGGCCAGAGCAAGTGTCCGACCCATAGCATCCCTGCAGCACAGCCAGGGCCTGGGCAGGAGGCCTGGCACATGTGAGGAACAGACTGTGAACTTCCCTTATATTCTAGAGACTGCTGTTTGTGATGTCCCCATGCCACAGAGCGGGGTTATGTGTTTTCCTTTAACCTTGCCCATTTTTCCTTATTTTTTAAATTGATTGCTGTTTAATACATTGTATTTGCTTGAACTATATGTAATGATCAGTGGGTTGGGGAAGCATCCAGTGGAGAGAGAGCACCCCGGAGTGGGGACACCCTAGCCCCTGTCCTAAGTGACCATGACAAGATTGCGGGTTAAGCCCCCCAGGAATCCTGGGCCCAACCTTATTACAGTTACGAAGACTCTGCCACACAGGAGAGTGACGGGGAGTCCTCAAGGTCAGGCGGGCCTCTGGGTAAAGGTTGTGGGAACAAGGACTCAGATCCTTTCGCTAGCCAATGCCACTGAGGTAATGTATAAGCCAGGAAAGTTCCTCACAATAGTGGGACCAATCCCCCACTTACATATTATTTACAGTTATGTTTTTATTTATTTAAAAAAAATGCACTGCAAATCATCAGAGTCAATAAAGAGAAGGCAGAGTAGAAGCAGCCTAGCTGTTTCTCCTTCTAAGTGTCATCTGCAAGTGAAACAATGTTTCTTGAAATAGGAAAGAATGTCTGCTTTCCCTAGTCCTCTTGCCAGTACCATGTGTTCTTCTGGCTACTTAGTGGGTCATCATCTGCCAGAAGGAAGTGTCACAAGACCACCAGGACCACTTCTAAGGGTTATAGAGGTGTTTGTTCACAGGGCTCATTTAGTCCTTAGCTTGCCTGGTGAAACTGCCAAGGGTCAGTTAGTGCCCCAAATGTATGGCAACTTTTGTGATGTGGGCACCTGTGCAGCAGGAACGCGACTGAGTGATCACTACCTCATTTCACACAGGCAACTAAACAGCCATCAGACTTTGTCACTTCTGACCACACAGCTTCATTTTAGCTAAATATATATTTGATTAGGTTATAGGTCAGACTGGTTCTGATAACGTACAAGACCTGAAACTTCACTCCAAAATTAACGCGATCCCTCCCAAATATTTCCTGAGGTTCAGGGAAGAAGGGGAGAAATCTTGATTAATATTTTCCATGTATCTATAATTGTCACCTAACTATGCACTTAAGTGACTTCCAGGGACCTGAAATATCAAAGTAACTGAGAGAAAATGCTATACTTATTGTCCAACTTAACTGAAATAAGAATTTCTGTTTTCATAACAACTCAGACCAAAGAGCTTGGAAAAAGTTTATGGACTTGTAGATGCTTAACCAGAAGTTTGATTAATGTATTCACAGATTTCAAGGCCAGAAGGGACAATTAAATCATCATTTGCATTCCTGTATAACACAGGCTATAGAATTTCACATAGTTTCACCTGCATAGAGTCCTAATACTTGTGTTTGCATCCAGTCTTGATCAGAAGACATAAAGAGATGGAGAATCCACCAGTTCCCTTGGTAGGTTCTTCCAATAATTTATCAGCCTCATTGTTAAAAACATGCACCTTATTTCTAATTTGAATTTCTCTGGTTTTAACTTCCAGCCATTGGTTCCTGTTATCCTTTTCTCTGCTAGGTTAAAGAGCATTGGTACCTGGTATTTTCTCCCCATGAAGGTTCTAATTCACCATAATCAAGTCACCTTTTAGGCCTGGTCTACACTTAAAAATTGAGATTAATTTAGCAATGATGCTCAGGGCTGTGAAAAAATTTGTGCACTGACCACAGTAGTTAGGTCAACCTAACTCTGGATGGAGAGGAAGGAAGGAAGGAAGGAAAACTCATTCGGAGAGAATGAAGAAGGGGGAAAGGGTGTATGGCAGAGATTGGAAGTACCTGAGGGAGGATTAAAAAAAAAAAAAAAAAGGATAGAGATTACAGTTGTAACCACTAGGAACTTTATTTTTTGGTAAAAAATTTCCCCATGTTGCTACTAGTTCAGCTTCCCTATTGGCAGCAAAGATGAGAACCCTCGTGCAGATCAGGGTACAAGTGGCTACTGGTATTTAAAGCACCCTGCCATATAACAGTACTGCCAAGACTTGTAACATTTGGTGTTTTTCTTAAAGTCCCAGCTCCTTAAATGTGTAATTATGTAAGAATTTCAGCTTTAAAACAAAGAATGCTCTAGTGCTCATGGCTTTGGAGGAAAGGATGAAAAAGTTATTTAAGTGCAGCATAAAGTTCAAAAACTATAATGCAAATAAAAAGAACCCAAGATTTTATATTTTAAACCAATCTCAAGATTTTTTGGGGGGTGGGGGAGAACTGACTCATGATTCTTGACTGTGTGGAGTTGGTAATATTACATGTAGCTACATTTAGCCTGGATCAGGTGCAAGAGAGGAAAACCAGCACATGTGGACACTGGAAGTGCTGGTCTGAAATGAGCAGGACATATTAGGCAGTAGGAGCAGAGAAGAGAGAGATTGAAAGTGCAGGAAACCTGCAGGAGGCCTATTTGGTGCCTACAATTTAGGCCTGGTCTGCACGAAAAAGTTAGGTTGACCCAGCTGCGTGACTTGGGGGAGTGAAAATCCACCGCCCAGTGTAGACAGTGCTGGGCCGATGGACGAATTCTTCCGTGGACCTGGCGCCTAGGGACGGGAGATGGATTAACTACGCTGGCAGGAGAGCGCCTCCTATCGGCGCAGGCCGTGACTACACCGCTGCGCTGCAGCGACGCGCTGTAGCCGTTCAGGTGTGGACAAGCCCTGCCACGGCTGCCCCTCGGGCCTGGCTGGATCAAACCAAAAGCACCTTCCCCTGGTGCGAAGGGCCCAAGAAGCAGGGGCTCAGCTAAGCCGGGAACGTCGGCTGGGAAAACAGGGGGCGGTGCAGGGCAAAGGCTCCCAACAGGGCTCCAGGGGCACCGAGCGCAGCCCGGGGGCAGAAGCCGCGCGAGAGCCGAGGCTGGGAGCCAGGCGGGTGACGTCATGAGGGGCGGGGCAGGGGGCAAAGGGGCGGGGGGGGGGAGCTCAGAGAGGGTGACGCAGCCTGGTGACCCCGGGAGCGGGGGGGCCATGGGCAGTCCCGCCCCCAGCCCGTCGGACGCTCGCGGCCTTCGCGGCGTCGCCAGAGCCGGGACACGCCCCCTCTCCGCTGTTACCGCTCCACGCGCTGCAGCGTCACGTGACCTCCTCTCGGGTGACTGGGCTAATGGTCGCCAGAGCCCGCTTCCCTCCCGCCGCCGCACCATAGAGCCCGAGGAGGTCTGTTTCAGACCGGCCCGAGGCGGGCGACGCTCTGGCTGCCGATTTCCGGCACCTCTAAGGCTCTCGCGCCCAACCGGAGGTTCCGGGGCGGAAGTGGCGCGCGCGTCCCGCCCGCGACCATTGACGATGGCGGCGAGGCCGAGGAGGCGAGGAGCCGAGGGGACAGCGTAGAAACCGCCGCCCCGCAGCGAGGCAGAGGAGCTCGGCTCCCGCCCTTCAGAGGGGTGAGAGGAGCCGAGCAGGCTGGGAAACAGACCGACCGCTCGCTGTGCTCCTGCGCGTCCCGGGCTGCTTCCCTGCGCTCGTCTCCCCCTCCCCCGGTAGGGGGAGAGGAGCAGCCCAGGGACCTGCAGGGCCCCTCCGGGGGGGTGGGGGGGTATCGCGGAACTGCAGGAGAGGGAGGGTTCCCCGCGCCCTCCGGCCTCTTCTCCTCCGCCTGCCGGCGCACCCAGGCCGGCGGCTCTGCGGGGCTCGCTGTTGGCTTGGACCTCGTGTCCTGCAGGCCTGGAGTCTGTACAGGGAGGGGGCTTGTACCTAACTGTCCTGCACAGAGACAAGGTGAAGTTAAGGCTGCGAACACGTTAATGACCCGAGGGTCTGGTGTCCTCAAGGTGTTCGAAGCGGGATGGTGGGGGAGGCGACCTCAGTATTACAAACCCGAAAAATGCAGAGTTTGGGACCCTTATGTGAGAGGTATAAATCTGTTAATTCCCCACCCCATAGTATTCCTGGCTAGAGAAATAATGATCTGAGAACTCAAACTCGTGTTGTCTTAACTATCCATAGGAGATGGCTTATTTTATCAGTGAACTCAAAAGCTAGACTGCTTTAGTTGTACGCATGGCTGTTATGGTGCTTTCTAACCAGACAGTACAGATAAAAGCATTTTACAAATGTTGAATTAAACAGTATATTGAATGCACTCATTCCTAGCTCTTCAGTAAGGGCCCAGTCTGCTCACATACTGAGGGCACCTAATGCCACTTTAGTGCAATGCTCAGTACCTTAAAGGCAATCATATGATTATAATGCTCATTATATGGCAGAAGATTAAAAGTTTAATTACACATAAACTAGCCTGTCTTCATATCCAAACTTTATAACTCCAGATAATGAAATTAGAGCACATGCATAAAAAGAGGAAAGGTTAGTGTGGTGACAGATCTTCACACTTTGTACTAGAGACACAATTTATGAAGAAAAATTCTAAATCCAGATGTTTAACAATGCACATTTTTGAGACTCTTCACATAAAGGAGGGCAGATGATAAACTGGTATCTCTGTGATAGAGAGGTGATTGGTACGGGATGTATGGAAACAGTGTACAGAGAGGTATACATTGTAGGCTGCAGCAGGACCACAGATCTTGTGCAGCCTTAGATTCAACTGGATGTCATGTTTCCATTTGGATGGTTGTTTAATGGAACACTAACTTTTGAACACTGCATTGGATTAATTCTAAAATTTCAAAGAATGTTCTAGATATCAGTGGGCAGAAGAACACTATTGATTTTGAGGAAGTTGAGAAGGGGAAAGTGGGGGACATGCAGAGCTCCTGCCATTGATTTAGCAGAGTTGCCCACAGCTTCAAGTACCTCTGTAGTTGTTTACAGATTAAATAACTCGTTAAGCTAACACCTTGCAACATAGCAATACCGTCTCGTCTCTGCCCATCCTCCCAATAGAGTGTGATGTTCACATCCTGAATGGGTTATCTCCCAGACAGAAAGAAGAGAAGTAATAAAGGGGGGAGAGTAGGGGGACACAGAGCCGTGGCATGTAAGCCAGTGGAGAACTGTGGAAAGAAGGGGGAATGTGGGACAACCCCTGGCATGGGAGTGAAATGGGAGATCACACTGAATCCCAGGTGAGGGGGAGAATGGAGGACCCTGCAGTGGGAGGATTGGACGGCACTCAGAGATCCTGTCATGAGGTTGGGAGTGTTTCAGGGAGTCCCTGAAAGAGAGAGGGATGAGATGAGGGCATACAGGGAGTTGGTGCAGGGGGAGAGGGAGGAATGCAAGGAGCCCCTGGTGTTTGCAATGAGCTCTGCTCTACAAGTCAGCTCAGGCCTAATGCCTGAACCAGACCTAAACCCAGCTGACCAGCCCTAGAGGATTGAGTCATTTTCCAACCCAACCCTGACTTTTGTCCCCGAACCTGAATCAGCGCTGCTATTCTCCTCCTGCCTCTGCTGTTGGAATTGCAGCAGCTGTGGGCCATGCGCCTGCTGTCCAGCAACTCCTGCTGCGCTGTGTGAGCTGTAGAGTGAGAGGTACTTGAACTCTTCAGCATGCTCACTCTGCAGCTCACACAGCACAGCAAGGTGGTGGTGGCCACCAGGAGCAGAGCATGCAGCCGCTGCTGTGCTGACCCCATCGCCAAGCAGACATGAGCCCAAGAGGGTCTGGTTGTTTTCACACCCGACCCGGGCCTGACACTTGTAGTTGGGCTTAGGTTGAGTTGCAGGGCTCTACTCTAATTACAGAAGCAACAAAGTGTGCAAAACCCTAGTAAATACAAACATGATACTTTTCATTTGATTAGTGAAATGAATGAGATGCAATAGTCATTTGCTGACGAAATGGTGTGGTTGTGCGGCTTTGTATGTTTGCCTGAGTCTGCAGTGGCATTCTGCACATTCTTGAGAGCTGGGATCTAGGGAGGCAATAGACATTTGAGTTTCTGGGAAAACAAGCACTAATGCGGGGGGCGGGGGGAAGAGGAGGAATTGGAGTATGCTGACTACTACATACAGCATGTGACATGGCTTTTTCTTTTTCAGGTGTCTTTTTTTTCCCCATTTTATTGAAGCAGTAAAAAAAATTGGTCAAAATGGGGCGGAGATCAACATCCTCCACCAAGAGTGGGAAGTTCATGAACCCTACAGACCAGGCCCGTAAGTAGTCACTAAATTTCTTGTTGTAAGAATGGTTAATTCATCTGAGATAAAAATGTGAATGAAAGCTGGTTGGGAGTCAGGTGAGATTCCACAAGCATTGTGTAGTTAGAGGAGGAAACAAGACTACACGCATCTATTCCTCCTGCATTAGTGTAACTACTAAGATTCTGATGGTCAAATAAGCATCTAGAAACAAGCAAAAAGATCAACTCTCACTATCAAATAATTCAGATGGTTAGGATTAGCAATGTTTTAAGTTTGTCCAAAATGTAGATTTAAAAAAAAAGTTTTTTCTATTCTGAGCATAGAATATTTCAGTTTCTAAGGTGTTAATCATTTAATGAGCATTAAATTCATATAGTCTTGTTTCAAAAAGACTCCTTACTCCAGAACTTGTTACATCAATTAGGTGGGTGCGTATAGAAATATCTCCGCTTTTGGAGGAGGGGGTTGCCAGTATGGCCATCTATCGCCTTCCTTCTTCTATAATGGGTATGAAATATGATTGTTTCTAATAAAATATCTGAGACTGTGAAAGTGGGGGTGGATAAAATTTGGCTTTTAAATCACAAGCTGTTAAGAAACAGACCTTCAGTAGTCACAAGGGAAGAGTGACGACTATATTTGCTTCTTTTTCAATTAGTCATTTCTCTCCTCTGCAGGAAAGGAGGCCCGGAAGAGGGAGCTGAAGAAGGTAAGACACTATTACCATCCCTAAGAACACCTGGCCAGCACCATTCTAATATGCATCACATTCCCAACTGTTACGGGCTTGAGACAATAGGTAGAATCCAGCCTTTCTGGTTGGCTCCTCAGGAGTCGCTTTCTTTCTGTGGAAAATGTCTGACCAAGTAATTTAAAGGAATGTTGTCAACTTAAATCACATTTGTCTGAATTTTATTAACCTACAACTTCTACTTGTAATACCTAAAATAGAAAAAAAAAACAAGATTTTTTTTTCTCCCTGTTTACTTTGTTCATTTTATAGCACTTTGTGTTCTCCGGTTGTTTGTGTGGGTCTTTTCCAGAGCAATTGGGGCGGGAGAAACATTTTTAAATGTGAGGAGGAAAAAGACTAATATTACAACAATTGGCAGTGCAGGGACACAGTGTATCTGGAATACCCAAAAGTACTTTAACTCAGTGGTTCTCAACCAGGGGTACGCATAACCCTGGGGATACACAGAGGTCCTCCGGGGGTACATCAACTCATCTAGATATTTGCTTAGTTTTACAACAGGCTACAAAAAAAGTACTAGCAAAGTCAGTACAAACTAACATTTCATAACAGACAATGACTTGTTTATATTGCTCTATATACTATACACTGAAATGTAATTACAATATTTATATTCCAATTGATTTATAATTATATGGTAAAAATGGGAAAGTAAGCAATTTTTCAGTAATAGTGTGCTGTGACACTTGTATTTTTATGTCTGATTTTCTAAGCAAGTAGTTTTTAAGTGAGGTGAAACTTGGGGGTACGCAAGACAAATCAGAAAGGGATACAGTAGTCTGGAAAGGTTCAGAGCCACTGCTTAACTCACTTTTAAAATGGACCTTACAGGATGGTGTGGAGTGATTAACATTTGTAAAGCACTTTGAAAAGAATGGATGAATTTATTTCTCTTTCCTGAGGGAGTTCTTTGAGCACATTTAGAAGTCCCGGAAACCTGAATTACAAAGAGAAATGTGATATCATAGATTATATCTGTTCCCCTATTTATCCTAGAACAACAACACTATTCCTGATTCTTTATTATCTGACCTTCTCAGAACAAGAAGCAGCGGATGATGGTACGAGCAGCTGTACTTAAGATGAAAGATCCCAAACAGATCATTCGGGACATGGAAAAATTGGATGAGATGGGTGAGTGGGTACCATCTGGAGGGACTTGCATTTAGGGTGAGAGGGGAGATGGAAGGATCAGATAAGATGGGAGGTGAGAATTGAGAGGTGGGACAAGATGGGTTTAGTGGTTAATGGAATGACTCTGTGGGTTGTACTGTGGAAACTTTGCCAAATACTGGCTTTTGCTTGTTAGAAGGATTGGAGAAGAAAAGTGGGTAAATGGTTCGTGGAATGGGAATAGATGGTGAACTTTTTCAAGGTAATTGGATATTGGAGAATTTTGGATGACTAGACGTTCCTTTGGAAGACAAAAGGATAGGAGTGGTGCATATTGTCTCTAATGGCTGTGTAAAAGGAGACAATCCCCTTAAAGGTCTGAATCAGCTTTCCATCAGGTCTCCAGATAGTCGCTGTCATTGTCTCCAGAGGTTGCTATATTGAACATGTGTGCAGTATATGCAATTGGGTAATCATGGCTTCTGTTGCAAGTCTCCCCTATAATTTCCTTTTTGGAATTGTTTGTTGCCTTGGTCCTACTCTCCCGGATCAGAGTTTAACCCAGTACAGCAGCCACAACTTAATGAGAAGGTGCTGAAGGACAAGCGTAAGAAGCTGCGTGAGACCTTTGAGCGAATTCTGCGGCTGTACGAGAAGGAGAATCCTGACATCTACAAAGAACTGCGCAAGCTGGAAGTGGAGTATGAGCAGAAGAGATCGCAGCTCAGCCAATACTTCGATGCTGTCAAGGTAACATTGTTCCAGACTTGGTCCTCAGTCCCTGCCATGTTGAGTATTTTCACCAAGCTGCACACCGTGCACCTTGGCTGCCTCCTCAGTCATAGTACTTTAGCAGGGACAACATGATGATCCATCAATATGTCCTCAGTGTTTTGTGATGTACTATATTTTATTTCTTGGAAGGTTACAGGGAAGGATGGTTTTGGAATGGTTTTACAATGGAAGCCCCAACTATCTTGCATACCCTGGCTTGTGAGATGTGTCTTTTGTAACATGAATTAAACTAATTTTGTTTTAAAACCCTCCTAAGTTTGTATGCATGTAATGAGTGTGTCTCAGCATTTATTTATAAGTGTTTCTGTTGTTCTGCTATAGTATCTGAGTCCCTAAGCTCTGTCCCACTCAACTATAAATCCTTCCTGTAATGGGTGCTTCCCAGATACTCTGGAAGGACATGGTGTTCTTGCCTGCAGTATATCTTTGTTTGGGAACTAAGGGCATGTCTACACTAAAAACTTAAGTCGACCTGTATTAAGTCGACTTACAGCCACCTCAGTAATTACTGTGGTGGTTCATGTCCACACTACCCTCCTTCAGTCAGTGGTGTGCATCCTCACCAGGAGCGCTTCCACCAACCTAAGGCAGAGCCGGGCTCTGAGCTCCACTTGCAGCTCCCCACCAGGTGCCTGGCTGCCCCACAGGCTCCCCTCCCCACCTCTCCGTTCCCTGCTGGGAGCCTGGCTACCCCGACTCTCAGCCATCAGCTCTCTGCTGGAAGTGGGGTGGCTGTCTGGGCTCCAAGCGGGGAGTCAGGACCCCGGGAGCAGCCTGGCAGGGAGCCTGGGTAGCAGCTCAGCTGGGATGGGGGAGCCCGGACCCTGGCAGCAGCCCAGCTCCAAGCAGGGAGCCCCCTCCTGGGCTGGGAGCAGAGATGACTATCTTGTCAATTTCATGGCTCCAGCATGGAGCCAGAAATTGACAAGAATGACAGCCAACAGCTGATGTAAATAAGGCAGTATCTACAAGGACACTGCTTGCCCTAACTGCTCCTGTATAAGCCTTATGCTTCTTGTGGAGGTGGAGTTGTGTCTGTGTAGTGGGGCACTTACATCGGAGGGAGCAAGGCAGTAGTGTGTACACTGACATAGGTCGACATAAGCTGCCTTATGTCGACCTAACTGTTGTGTAGACCGGGGCTAAGTATCTTAAGAGGAATATAAGCTTGATCAGGTTTTGATTATTTGAATGGGGAAATGTTTTCAGCTAGCTGAGCTCTGTGTGTTACCGTTGACCAAAGAGGCCTTAATTATCTTATGTTCGTGATCTGTTTCTCCAAATGTTCATTCAGGAGTCTAACACAGAGAGTGACATACCAGTTGGACAGGCAACCTTCTGAATAACCATTTTTATGAGAGGGAAGGAACTGACTCCCTACGCTCTGTTTTCTATAAAGTGAGGAGTGTGCACATGATCCTCTTCCCTCTGCCTCCTAAGAGATTAACCTGCTTGCTTTTTGTATTTCTTGCAGAATGCACAACATGTTGAAGTGGAGAGTATACCTCTGCCAGACATGCCTCATGCTCCCTCCAACATCCTTATACAGGACATCCCCCTACCGGGGGCTCAACCACCTTCTATCCTCAAGAAAACATCAGCCTATGGGTAAGAGGGAAGTGTCATTGAGGGGTAATAAATGCTGAACATGCATGTGTTGCAGTTGGGTGTAAGGGGTTGTTGATAGAAGTGATGTTTGGGAGAGGGGAATTGGAAGTCCTGAGGGAGTGATGAATCCTAAGTTCTGTATGTATTTCCCCTCTGTTTTTGCAGTTAAAACCCTTCTTTGTGCCTTGGTCATCTCTCATATTGACTCTGATAAGTGTCTCTGGTCTTCCTGCATATCTCCTTTTGCACATTAGTGCACCTTAAGCTCCATTGCTAGAGTTCTCGTCTCCCACTGTTCTCACTGTGATATCCCTTTTGTCTTAAATACTTTCATAGGCTTCTTGTCTGCTGCTGTGTTAAATTCAAGCTTCTATTTCACGGTTGTCTGCCGTTGCTTTCACAGAGGGAGGGGGGAGGCTGTACCCAGAACCACCAGCGACAATGTTTTTTGCCCCATCAGGCATTGGGATCTCAACCCAGAATTTCAATGGGCGGGGGAGACTGCGGGAACTATGGGATAGCTATGGGATAGCTACCCACAGTGCAACACTCAGGAAGTCGACGCTAGCCTCGGTACATGGACGCACACCGCCGAATTAATGTGCTTAGTGTGGCCGCATGCACTCGACTTTATACAATCTGTTGCCAAAAATCGAATTCTGTAAATTCGGAGTAATCCCGTAGTGTAGACATACCCTTAATCTGGCCTCTCTCTCTCTCATCCTCCTGCTCTTCCTTTCCTCTTACTGATTACTTAGCATCCTTTTATTTTTGTCAGCTTCATGGTGTCTTCATTTTGCCCCCTATGTTTGCACCAGTTCCCGTGTGTCCTTACTCTTCTCCTTCTGTCTTCCTTTAAGCCTGTTTCTTCCATAAAGCTTTCTTATCTCTAATATCCATCAGCAGTGTCTCCAAACCCTCCAACATTTAATTGGTGACCTCTTTTTTTGAGTCAGTTCATAAATTCGTTGGGCAAGAACCATGCCTTACTCTGTTTTTGTAAATTTCTAATGTATTTTCATAGCATTTAGGACAGGGACAGCTGGATCATTGTGTAAATGGTTGCTGTGAAGGTGATCGTGAGGAATTGGGACAGAGTTTTGTGTTTATCTCCTTTACACATTTTTTTTAAATTTCCAGCCCTCCAGTCCGGCCCATTTCTGTACTTCCACCTCCCGGACTTGGTGTTCCACGGTTACCCCCAGGTCGGAAGCCCCCTGGACCTCCTCCAGGGCCTCCCCCACCTCAAGTCCTACAGATGTATGGCCGTAAAGTAGGCTTCACTTTAGAGATGGCACCTTGGAGGCGAGAGGAAGAGATTTCTTACAGTCCTGACATAGGTAAAAAGCTGCTCCTCCTTTGTCCCAGACCTCATGTTATCCTTGTACTGGACATTAACCTTGACTTCTGTCTGCTCTTCCACTGATAGTGCTACAGTGAATGTGGTGTGCACTGGCATTGCCATTATGACTTAACTGTGAGGGAATGTGCAGACTTGTATGATCTGAGACTGGTTTCTGTAGGTTCACAGAAATTTTTTTTACTGTATGAAAGATTGAAGTAACTACATAGCTTGGTCAAATGATAACTAAGATAAGATAAATTTGCAAGTGTTTGAAGGGTGTTGAATCTTCTGAGATGAAGAACCTGTCTAGATGGTTATAGTTAAGTGGAATGGAATTATCAATAAGCCTTTGCTGCTAATAGGAAATTATTCTCTAGTCTATGAGATTTAACTAAGGGAAATGGTAGAAAACCCTATCATTTGATTGAACAAAACCATCTGAAAAACTATCCTACTGGGAGATGGATAATTTTCCATTTCAGACTTCTGTGAGCAAAAGTCTCAGATGCATGCCCCTTTAGTTTTGGAGATAGCATCCTTCATTTAAATAGTTATGCTCCTAAACCCCTTGGGAGGTGCTGGTATGCTGTGTAATTTAATGTCAGTTAATTTAATATCAATTACATTTACTTATCAAATGTCAAAGCTTCAAGTTATAACTTTCAAATACTTGGTTTTACACTAGTACATTGTTGAATAGGAGAGAAATCTCCCCCCAGGGTTCATGGCTGCAAGATTGTGGGATCCCGCATTTTAAAATCTCCCCAGCTGGCATCATTCAGAAAAGTTGTGCATGTTCTTTCATTCCCACCCAAAGCGATTCTCATTAGCACCTGTAGGATTAGTAGCACCAGAAGGGAAACTAATTAGACCCTCCAATTTCATTTAATTCCTGCAGGACCTCCATATATTGCTTAGTGAAACTAAGTTTATCAGCTTATGCACATAATGGAGTGCTATGTAGGACTTGGGGGACTAGAAAAGGTACAAAGTAGAGTGACCAGAGAAATTCAGAAAGGTAGAAATGGATAAATAGAAATGAACTGGTGAATTTCAGGGTGCAGATATTGTTCAGTAGCCAAAAAACAAGCAATGGTGATAGCTGATTGGATTAGTAACAAAACAACCTCAAATAAGATCTCCATCCTAGAGGTTTTTTTACCCCCCCTTTTGTTCCCCTCTCTCCATTCCTAGATAGTGAAATGAAATTACTGTCTTCTATCAGAAATAGAACTGATTAACTCTCCACTTGGAGAGGGAGCTGAAAGGATAAATGCTAGACAATATATGTCCTTTCCTCACCGAAATGGAGTTTGTCTGGGATGGGGGTTCTGTAACTATAGAAATAAACCTAAGCCGACGTATATTCTCATTCTTCCATGCTGGTGTGCTTTGCTTCCTGATGTTCTGCTCTCTCGTTCTCAGGTCAGCGAGGGCACGATGATGATGCCTCCAGTACCAGTGAAGATGAAGGGTATCCTGAGGACATGGATCAAGACAGGCATGATGACAGTAGTGATGACAGTGATAGTGACAGATCAGATGCAGACAGCGAAGGCGATGAATTCCTGCATCGTGACAATGACAATGAAAGGGAGGGTGAAGACAAGAAATCAGGTTTGTGCGGTGGGAACTCCACTTCATTATAATCTGAAAAGTGACTGAAAATAGAACTGCATTATAGCCTGAAAAGTGACACTCTTATTTCTGTTTGTTCTTTAGTCATGAGGCTGAAAGAAGAGCAAACTGAATTCTGTTCTGGCTCAACTAACTAAATTATTACCTAAGTTCCTATTACAGAATTTTTATTACTGCTGATAAATGAGTCAGAAATCACCCAGCTGAAATTTGAGATCCCAGGCTGAGGTTGCAACATTAGTATTCAAATTTAGCTGTCTTGTTAAAATATATACACACTTGACCTGGAGCATTGAGTCAGAAACAAGGATCTCCACAATGCAATTTTTAGTTCCATGTCAGAGTAGAACCACACTTCAATGACTTGAGACTTTTCAAAAGAACTGTACAAGATACATAATTGAATTTCAGGCTAATCATAGACAGAGACTACCTCACTCAGTGTAGAAGAGCATCAACCATCCATTCAACTATTTAAGTGATAGTCAGGAACAATGTATTTATTTGAAACTGATGGGAATTTTAGGTTAGCAGGATGTAATAAGGCAAATAACACCGATGTTAACATTCTTACTATTTTGAAAAGAGTCATGAGATATTTAATTTGCTATCCACATCAAATGATAACTTGTATATATTCAATCTCTCTCTTTTCCCTGTGCTTATCTCTGCAGGGCTTAGTGTGCGGTTTGCTGACATGCCTGGGAAGTCACGGAAAAAGAAAAAGAACATGAAGGAACTGACTCCACTTCAGGCCATGATGTTGCGAATGGCAGGTGAGAACATAGGTTCCCTAGCTGGTGAACAAAATATTTAGCTTTTTTAAAAAAAATATTGTTGCTTGCTTCATTTCTCAACCCTAATGAAGATAACTTAGACTAACGAAACATTAATATTTCTGTTTTTAAGAGGAGGAAAGAGCTGGGGAGAACTTAAAACTGAGTTGCTGTTTAAGTAATTTATCTCTTGAGGCAACTTTACTATGTTCTCAATATTCTAAAGCCTTTCAGGATTAAGGTGGCCATAAAAGATGTATAAAGGCAACCTCATAACTTCATCGATACTAAGCTGTCTTTCTCCAAACTTGAGCTCATTTTTCCTTCCTCATTCAGAACTGCACTTGTGTCCGCTTAGAAGTGTCAGCTGTTTCACTTCTCTGCTCATATAAAATCACATTTTTTTAAAAAAAAGTGAAAGTTTTTTACTTTTGTATAATTCAAAGGGCTAAATCAATTTTCCACGTGTTTCCCCCTAAAAATCCCCAAACTGTAGCTGTGTGAAGTTATGCAAGAGAAATTTCAGCCCAAAAGGAATTGTTAACTCCTGAAAATATGGGGTTATAATGAGACAGCCTTCCATGCTCCATGGTAGTGCTACCAGCGAGAGCTGTACTGTTTCCTGTTACCTATTTTGTATAATAGCTAACTGAGGCCAGTTTCTTCCCTCCTCCCCATCACCATTTTGTGGGGGCGGAGATGATCCTCCATCTCAGGTTTTTCTGTAGTGCTTATAAATGTATCTTCTCTTCTGTGTCTTCAGGTCAGGAAATCCCCGAGGAGGGGCGAGAAGTGGAGGAATATTCAGAAGAGGAGGAAGAGGAGGATGAAGATGATTCTGAGTCTGAAGAGACACCACAGCAGCAACACAAGGAGGAGTCGCGTACAGAGACTGGGTCATCTACTACCCCCTCTCAGCCACAGCAACAGCAGCAACCACCACCACAGCCTGTTCCTCCAACTCAGATACAGGCACCGCCCATGCCTGGGCCTCCCCCTCTGGGACCACCTCCTGCCCCTCCCCTGAGGCCTCCAGGACCACCTACTGGTCTTCCTCCTGGCCCTCCACCAGGTGAACACTTAGCTTATTTTTGTTTAAATTAACTTGCTGCTGCTGGAAGGCGTTAGGTTCCAATCCCAGTCCTATTCCCCGACCAGCTATAGTAGCAGTGCAGGCTTCTCTTAAACTGTCTTGTGAATGTGTTTTCAACCCTTCCCAGGAAAGGGAAACATACTTAGGTGAAAAAAGAACAGGAGTACTTGTGGCACCTTAGAGACTAACAAATTTATTAGAGCATAAGCTTTCGTGGGCTACAGCCCACTTCTTCGGATGCATATAGAGTGAAACATATATTGAGGAGATATATATATACACACATACAGAGAGCATGAACAGGTGGGAGTTGTCTTACCAACTTTGAGAGGCCAATTAAGTAAGAGAAAAAAACTTTTGAAGTGATTTTTCTCTTACTTAATTGGCCTCTCAGAGTTGGTAGGACAACTCCCACCTGTTCATGCTCTCTGTATGTGTGTATATATATAT